TTTATAAACTCAGAGCATCCTGATTATGTTTATATTTTAGATAAAGCTGTATATGGGTTAAAACAAGCACCAAGAGCATCGTATGCAACTCTAACATCATTTTTGAAACAATCTAAATTTAAACAAGGCTCAGTTTATCCTACTTTATTTCAAAATAAAATTGGAAATCATCTGATGCTTGTTCAAATTTATGTTGATGATATAATTTTTGGCTCAACTGACCCTGCTTTATCTGAAGAATTCGAAGATCTGATGAAAAGCAAATTTGAAATGAGTATGATGGGCAAAATTAATAACTTTTTGGGTTTGAATATTCGTCAAAACAGGGAAGGCATATTCATTAATCAAGAGAACTATACAAAGAATTTGTTGGAAAAGTTTGGAATGACGAATAGCACAAAGTTACGAATACCAATGGCAACGGGCATAAAGCTAACTACTTCGTTAGATAAATCTACTGTTGATATTACTTTGTATCGAAGCATGATTGGGTCTTTATTGTATTTAACTGCAAGTAGACCTGATATTATGTATTATGTTTGTAATTGTGCAAGGTATTAATCAAATCCACGTGAACCACATCTCATAGTAGTAAAGAATATTTTCCGATATTTGAAAGGCACTACTTCATTAGGATTGTGGTATCCTTCGAAAACAGGGTTCTTTGTACAAGCCTATTCAGATGTGGATCTTGGAGGATGCAGTCTTGATCGTAAAAACACAACTGGTGGATGTCAATTGCTAGATGGAAAGTTGGTCAGTTGGCAATCGAAGAAGCAAACATGTGTGTCAATATCAACCGCTGAAGCTGAATATGTTGCTGCAGCTGCGTGTACATCACAAATATTTTGGATTCAAAGTCGATTAAGAGATTATGCAATTAATATGAAAAAGATTCCTTTATATTGTGATTCACAAAGTGCAATAAGAATTTGTCATAATCCTGTGCAGCATTCGAAGACCAAGCACATTGCTCTTCGATATCATTTCACCAAAGATCATGTTGAAGAAGGAAATATTGAAGTTCATTTTGTAAAAACAACAGAACAATTGGCAGATATTTTTACAAAGGCTTTGGATGAAAAATCGTTTCTTCGGATCTTAGATGGATTGGGAATGATTGATGGAAATTCTCTTCAAACTGATAAAAGCGAAGAGTGATGGGTCTGAATCATTTGGAGTACGGATGAACAGGATGATTCAGCATTCAGAGGTTACTGTTCATGGTCAACGCTTCGAACGCTTCGCATTCGGAAATTTTTGAAATAAATAATCATACGTTACTGTTCAAGTCAACGGTTCGAATGCTTCGTATTTGTACACATTTCAACTAAGGTTAGATTTGTAGTTTGTTTAATTTTTTTTTATGAAAAACCTGAAAAATCAAAAATATTTTCTTTTATTGAAAAATTAAAAATCCAAAAGATTTTGTTTCTGTTTGTCTTTAATTTTTTTTGAAAAATTACAAAAATACCAAAAATATTTTTCATTTTTTTCAGTTTTAACATGTGTATTGTGAGTTTTGTCAAGTTTCAAATACGAAGGATTCATGCGTTTGGATTTGAAGGAAAGGTATGATGTCTATACATTTTGGATTAGTTAGGATGTCCCTAGAAGCATGCTGTTGCATGTTGTCTCAAGCCTCGTATGATTCTATGTATGGGAAATGAATGCCTTGATGAAATTATCTCATGAAAATTTCTTCCCAACAAGGCTTGTATTTGCATAAATTAACAAGAGCTACCTTACTCTTCTCAAATGAGTTAAGATTTTTCTGTTTTGTCCAATATAACAGAGGTACCCTTCGATTCTTATCCAATCTTTTTAAACCAAACAATTCTTACATTCCAAATATTCGATGCAATTTGTCCTTGAGGTTTTTGATCAAACCAATCAAAATCTAGACAAATTACAAATATGTGTTTATGATCTGATATCATAAGTCCGTGATAAAAGTGAAACCCAAAATATCATAAAACTTAAGGAATTGACAAGGAACCATGTTCCAGATCTTACGAAGCTTTTGCTTCTGTACCTTTTTATACTCCAAATCATATTCATTTCCTTTGAGTGATCTTAATCAAACATTCGAAAACTACGATGTTTGTTCCCAACAAGATCCAGCATAAACGTTTTTATGAATATGATTTCTGTGTGAGTATATTTTCAAAATTCTATTTACTTTGAATATCATTCACAACCAAGTTGTCACTAACTACATTGGTTATACAACTAATTTTGTTTACAATTCCTCACCTTATTTTAAGGTTGATATGTAACAAAATTTTCGAAGCCACCCATGTGTCCAATAAAAGAAACCCTTCGAAACTTCTTTACAAGTTATCGATTGTAATTCACGGGAAACCACACAAGCTGTTAATTATCTCTCTTGATAATTTTCGAAGATATCTTTGCGTGGGATAATATTGTTTTTGTGTCAAAAGAAATTGTTGACATCACAAGTTTTCAAAAAATTTTTCTTTGTTTCTAATCTAATTCTTTTGGAACACAGCACACACGAAATCCTTGAGGTTTGAGTAACACCAACTTGAACTGGCAATTTCGAAATTTTGGCAAATGACTTCGCTTTCTAAACCTCAAAGTGAAAGAGCCTATCCTCCATTCCGAAGGCATCTGACGGTTACAATTCTTTTGGGGAATACCAAACAGTCTTATCTCTTGATGACGCATGGTGTATGATAAGCGTGTAAGGCGTGCTGACAGTTACAATTGTTACTTTTTGATGAGTACATTCTATTTTCAAGGTGCCACGTCAACAAGCATTTAATGCATCCCGCTTCAAATTCAAAATTCTAGGGTTACATATAAAAGGGCAAATCAGAACTCCATAACACTTTACATGATCAAACTCTCTGAAACACAAAATTTTCTGAGCAATTCATCTTCTTCATACGTTCTTTACTCAAAATCATCTTCAAATGGCGACCACTTACTCACCAACTACAGATGAAATCATCAGTGTTCCAATTCTGAAGATCCAGGGTTCCAACTATCAAGTCGAATCAGATTTGTCAAATTATCCGGAAGAACTACACATGCTTGTGGTTGCTTTACAGAATTATGTTCTGTCTAAAGCAATGTTTGACTCATTTGCTGCTTCGATGTCCTGGTTATCAAAGGCAGGTTCTACGGCATCATACAACAAGGAGACTGGGTGTGTTGAATTCACAATGGTCACGGATACAAGAACTAGGGTCTCAAAGCGGTTGTTTTGCAAGATTTTGGGAATTCCGAATTCTGGCCCGTATGATGAACTTACTTCTTCACAAGTGGTGTATATGTTCAATGAGATGGGTCACCAACCTCCATTCACACGTATCAGTGATTTCAAGAAGTCGGGGTTACCAACAATTTGGAACTTTTTGTTTAGCATCTTTCTTAGATGTCTTACTGGAAGAACTGTGGGGTTGGATGAAGGAAGGATGGAGGTCTATGCAATGGTAGCTGGGCTATACTACGATTTGCAAGTTGATTATTCTGAGCAGTTATGGACAGAGTTCATAACAAGTATTTCGAAGACCAATGCTAAGCAGGGGATTTCTTGTGCACGATATTGGAGTCTGATAGTCCAATATGTCTATCAGAAGGAGAAAATCGAAGTTCCGGATTACGAAGAGAAAGCAATTTTCCACATGTATGGTAGTCCGAAGGAGGTACATGATGATCCGGCTATCTTTACCATAGTTGCTCGCATTCCGAATGCAATGCTCAAGAAGGTGGATCCCACGAATAATGTGTTGGTGTCATATTTACAATCTATTGACACAACCGTTGTTACTGGGATATTACAACAAGAAGAGAAGAAAAAGTCGAAGAAATCCAAGAAGACAGAGGGTGAGTCTTCGGAAAAAGAGGTGAAAGCAGAACAAAAGAATCAGGAACTAATCGTTACATCTCGAACTGTCGAAGAGGTGTCTCCTGTTTTAACTTTAGTGGCTGATACACCTGTTATTGAAGCCTCTCCATCAAAAGAAACGATTCCTTCGAAGACGGAGGTTTTTCGAAGAATAAAAATCAAACAAAAATCACAATTGGTGAAGAAAACACAGGTTACTCATCAAGGGGTTACCGTTCGAGAAATTCCAGCTCCGGTGTCTCCATCTTCTAAGAAGCGAAGGGCTGAAGATATGGCTAAATTTTAAAAGAAAACCCAACGTGTCGAAGAAGTGGATCAAGTTCCTGAGACTCCCTAAGATGAAATTCCAAAAGAAGTAGAAATCCTTCAGTCTACTGAAATATCGAAGCCTGCTGATATAAAGATCCTTGAACCAATGTCTTTACCTCAGGTTACTTCAACAACTGATTCTCCGACATTCCAATCTATTATGGATCAACCTTTCACCACTACATTCTCCACACAATCAACCGATCCACCAAATCCATCATCACCTGTTGCTGAAACCATGGCTATTGATGAGGAAACTGATAACGAAGGGTTTGCAGGAACATTCGAAGCTCTTTCCTTTGATAAAGTTGAGGAAGATTTTCCTGACCATATGTTGATGACGATGAAGCAGTTCAAGATATTGAATTCAAAATTGAATTCTATCTTGCAATCTCAAGCGGATGCGGGAAGTGATGGAATCAATATCATAGAAGTTGATTCCATAATGAAGGAAATGGAAAGCAGGGTGAGTTCGAAGGCATCAGGGTTAATACGTGATTCTGAAAGCCGTATTCTTGAGAAGACTGATCAGACTGATAGTTCTACAGAGAATAGAATCAATTCTATGAGATCTGATTTTGTGAAGGAAGTGAAGGATTTAAATACATTTACGAAGGAGCGTCATGTGCTCTTCGTACAGGAAGTTAAGAAGGTTCGAGAAGACGTTAATATGCAGATTCGTGAACTTCGTGAAGAAATGACGAAGGAAGTTCATCATATTCAACAAGGGTAAGAATCAGCTCATCAGAAGATCGACATTATTTGTGATGCGGTTGTTCAGTGTGTTAAGATGTTCGAACAAGTAAATCCTCAGATGGTCTCTCTTTCAACCACAGAAGAACAACATTTTGGAGAGTTGGTGAAGCTGCTGAAAGAACTCAAAGAAATATCTTCGAAATCATCTTCTCCAATTGTCTCTCAAGAATTTCTTTCTCAGAAATTCATTCATTTCGAAGCCATCTTACAAAAACACCTTGCTCCATTACTCAGAATTTCAAGCCTTTTGCCGAACGTATCAGATGCCCCACTTGCTGTCACAGGGGTGCAAGGGGGAGAAAAGGTTGGTCAAGCAAAGGCTGGGGAACATGAGAAGATAACTGAAGATTCGAAGGTGGTAGGAAAGCTTTATCCTTCAAACGTTGTTGTTAAACCAACAATAGTTTCAGCTGCTCCAGTCATTTCGACTGTGACTACAACTGTTCCAATTTTAAGACCTATTACAAAAGGTATTGTAATTGAGAATGTAGTTCCTTCGAATGTATCTTCGTCAAAGAATGCAGCTCCTTCGAATGTTAAAGACAAAGGAAAAGGAGTCTTGGTTGAGAAGACTAACAAAGAGAAGAAAGCTGAGGTGGCAGCTGAAGTTGAAAGAATGATGCATGTTGAAAGTATAATGCGTCAGAGAGCTCTTGAAGGTTCGAATGTTGATAAGGGAGATCCTTCGAAATTATTCAATTACGAAACTATTGAATCAAGGGTGATGTTCGATCATATGTATTCGTTTGAAAAGATTCCGAAGAAGAGTTTTGTGGTGACAAATACTGATTATGGTCAACTTGATTTTCCGATCAATGAGATGATGTTCGTTATGCCACAGTTCAAAGCAGAGACAAATTCTATGGATGTAGAAGATGGAAAGAAGATGAAGATCCGATTTCATGTTGTGTTAGCAAAGGCTCAAGAAGAAGTTTGGTTCTTGGAGAAGATTAAGAAGGTGATATCCATAAAAAGGGATGTCATTTTCGAAGGAAAGTTTCAGAATTTGAAATATGTTGTGACAAGAGCTAGTGGAAAGATACAAGATTTCACTGTGGCGGACTTTCCATTGATAAACACTTACGATCTCATCAATGTTGCTCTGATACTTAAAGACAAGTCCTTTTATTTTCTCCAAGAGACAGAACCAGATGTCTTCAGTCTTGGGTGTAGGCACATAAAATTTTTCTTGGAGAATTATTTCGAGTGCTTAGCTCAAACTAATGTCGAGCTTGCTACTGTTAAAGGCATCGACATTACAACACCAATGGCTCCTACGAAGAAGCAGGTTGAGTTGAAAAAGTACGAAGACGGTGAAATATGTTTAAAGCCATTGGGGATTGTCTTTGCAGGAAAAGATAAAGCTGGAAGAGCTAAAAGATTCTTGTTTCAAACTTCTGAAGTGGAGAGATATACAAATTCACAATATACGAACTTAATTGTTCGTATGAATCATTGCAAGAAAAATTCAGAAGGAGATAAGAAGGAGATAAAGAAAGTTATCTCTTGGTACATGGAAATCCGAAGAGTGCTAATGTATGCCGTTCAACTACTAACTTCATGAAGACTTCGACCTTTATTCCAAAGGGGGAGATTGTTAGGGTATAATGTTGTAATATGTTGAAGTGTTAGTTATGTTATTACGAAGGATCTTTAGTCTTCGTAAGAAGGGTCTTCGGATGTAATGTTATATTTACTAAGGCATTTTAATGAATTGTCTGAAAGTCTAGTCCTTAGTATTTTTGTTATGCTTTTGTACGCCTATAAATAGGAGTCTGTACTGAGTGAGAATTTAACTTTTCACACACTTTTTACAGAGAATTCATTTGTACTTTGTAAAATTGAAAGCATAATCTGAGCTGAACAAATATTATATTTACTCTCGTGTTCATAGTTTTTCTTCTTTCTGAATTCTTAATTGAATTGATCTTAAACTCGATTACAATTTTCATCAGGTTGTAATGGATTGGATGAGTATGAACTCAACGAGTTGGTAGAACAACTCGGCTAGTCAAGTCAACTGGAAGTTGACTTTGACCAAGTTTCACCAGGGTTGACTTTTCGATTACTGTGGTCTAAATGTTGTTTTGGGTATTGATAGTTCGGGAAGCCGAAGGGTCAGCGGTTCGGAAGTTGCCGGTTAGCTGTCAAAAGTGTTCAATGATTTTTCAGTAGTACGAGGTGAGTTTCCTCACTGTGTGCATGGTTCTACGACCACAATGCCGATGTAACAACCTGAAATTGTTCGTCGCCAAAACCCGTTCTACCCGAAAGGTCGCCATCATCAAATTCGTTTCGTTTTCTCTTTTGGGTTAATTATATAAACTTATACGTTGATTTTAATTTAATGAGTGTCTAAATCACTCAGGAACTCACGTAATTAGCCCGAATATAATTATTACATGAGTTTTAGAAACGTCCCCGCCGGGTGACGGAAACTCAATCGGGTGCGACCTAAAGCATCGTTTAAGGCCGGTATCGGGTAGAATTCCACCGTGTCCAAGTTTTAGGAACTATATAAACATGTTTAACCTCTCATTTGAAGCTTTTTCCTTCTCTCTCTACTCTCTCTCTAACCTCTCTCCTAAATCCAAAGATTCAGGGTCCAAAACTCAATTTTATGGCCTCAAATCCTTAAGGTACATTCCTAGCCTTAATCTATAGCATGTTTGGCTTCCAAATTTGACATTTAATCATGAAATGGGACTACATATGTGAGTTTAGGGCCCAGGATGCTGCCTAGGCCGTAAACACCATTTTGAAGGGTTTTAAGCCCTTAAACTCCTTCCTAAACTCATTTGGACTTTAGATATGGCTAAGGGACTTCAAGATATGGACTTAGAACACTTAAATCATGGATTTTGAGTCATTTGAAGGAGTTTATGGCCAAGGCATAAGCTTGGGCCGTAAACTCATGTAAATGGGGTTTTTCATGCCCTTAAACCCTTCCAAATCACTACTATGGCTTAGTTATGAATTATAGGACATTGGTTTTAGCATTTGGACAGTTGAAACATGACTTTTGAGGGACTTATATGAGTTTACGGCCAAGGTGTGTGCTTGGGCCGTAAACTCCCCAAAACAAGGCATAAATTCAATTCTAAGGTGTTAGAAAGCCATCCAACACCACCAAAAGCCTTGGGATAAATCAAAGGACCAACCAAAAATAGTTTAAGGGACTTACACACATCATTTGTGGGATTTCTAAGAGTTTACGGCCAAGGCTTGTTCTTGGGCCGTAAACTCCAAGATTTATGGTGTTAGAATGCAAACTAAACACCCCTAAAGCTTTTAGATGAATTTTAGAAGCCCTTCTACGCAAGTTTTAGACCTTGAAACACATGTAGCACCATATAGTAGAGTTTACGGACATGAGAGGGGTCTCATGGGCCGTAAACTCCATAAATCCCTCATATGTCCCATACAAATTCATGTTAGACCTTGGAATAATTCTATTAATCACATGTGATTTGTTTTAGAACCATTTTGTCACACCCCCAAACCTGAACGGCGGAAACGTTCGGGGGCGGATGACTTCATGTGGTAGCGTAACAAATGAATACATAGTAAAGAAAGCAATACAACCATCATATATATAATTGAAAGTTTACATTTGTCAAAAGTTACATGTTCAAAACTCAATTACAATATGATGTCAAAATACGAGATTAAACTGGCGCTGCAGCATCCTTCATCAAAAGCGAAATGAATACCTGAAATTACTGATTTCCTGGGACATACAAGTAATTTTGAAAGAGTAGATCAGCATTTAAGCTGGTGAATTTCATAAGTATTTAAGTGACAATGTTTGAATGAAATGAAATGTTTTATCTTTGTTTGTTTGTGTTTAGAAAATCCTATATTTTCTACTAGTATAAAAGTAGCCTTCACTCAAGACCAATGTTTGTTTCCAAAATGTATGTAAATGTAAAATAACCAATGAGTTTGAAAATTGTAAATCAATGCATTTTTAATACCCCTTGTGAGTTTTATAACCATACTATTGACTCTGAATGCCTATACACAACGTTCTTCAGGCGTTGGAATGTTATGACGTTTGTCACCCCAAACGGTGGACTGCAGCTAACAGTCAGGGCGCGGGTTGTCAAGCCCGTATAGATCTATACACAAACACCACTCCCCCTCCAAGGGATTCTGGTATATAATACAGGACTTGAAATGTGTACTCGAACGTACATGAAGTTAGTGTCTCACAAAACCGTGGTATAAAAACAGATCTACTTGTTAAAATGTTACGTTTGTTCTTGTATACGAAAGTAAACTTCTTGAAATATGCGTTTCTAGTACATAAGAGTTAGAAATATGTTCGTAAAACTATACCTATTATAGTTTCCAAAAAGTGTGTCTTGTTTGTTTAGAAATATTGAGAAAAGGAATCACTTGTTTATGAAAGTATAGATTTTTGGTGTAGAGTCTAGGATAGACAAGAAAATCTAAGAACAGTTTAGTTTATACATGCATTACAACAACATTATATTTTAAAAGGTAAAATGCTATTGTGACATATGTTATATATATATAAAAGTTCCTTTAAATGTTTATAAATCGCATGTGATTTGAATATATAACAGTATATAAAAGAGTTTCTTTATGTAACACACGATAATACTCGTGTGTTTTACTTGCAATCCCCCCTTGAAAGCATATAAAAGTATTTAGAATAATTAAAAAGGTTGATTAAGGGGTATGAAACTCACTTGAAAGTTTTGGAGATAGCGAGATGGAAAACCGGGCAGAGTTTCGTCTCGGGAAACGGATTTTCCTCGGGATTCTCGGGAATCTCGGGAGCAAAATCGACCTTCGGGACTTGAGCCAAAAAGACCAGAGCTTCGGGTTTGAACGGACACGGAAAACGAGGAAATGTTGAGAGAGAGAGAAGAGAATGAACCCTTTCTTTGGAAACCCTCGCATCCTATTTATAGTAAGGCTGGTCTGCCTCGGTACGCGGGGCGTACGCTCGTACGCAGCGCGTACGCGTACGTCATGCATGACCGAAGCCTCGACTGCCTCGGTTCGGATGGGACGGGTTGCTGGGTACGCGGTCGGATGGGACGCCGGGTCGGATGGGACGTCGGGTCGGACGGGTCGGGGCTTCGGACGGGTCGGATGGGTCGGTTTCTTCGGATAGCGACGTGGACGATCAGAGGCCAATCCTCTCGGTTACGCGGGGCGTACAGGGGTACGCAGCGCGTACTCGGGAGAACGCTGACTCCCCTTCGGATAATATCCGAATTTTGATTAAATAAATAATTAATTTATTTAATAAACTTCAAAAATTCATATCTTCTTCATACGAACTCCGTTTTCGATGGTCTTTATATCCTCGCGTAGGTGAGACTACGCTCTACAACTTTCGTTTAGACTCCGTCGGCAAATTCAAAATTATTTTTTATTATTTATTAAAAATCCATCGTGTTTAAGGAATTTCTTAGAAAATTCATAACTTCTTTATCTGATGTCGGTTTTTGCCAGACTTTTTACCGCTGGAATACCATTGTCGAGACCTTCGATTAGGTCATTCCGGCCAAAAGTCGCTCGATCTCCGATTCGAGTTTTTAGTGTCTGTTGCTAAGCCGAACTTGGAAAAATCATAACTTCGCTATATGAAGTCGGATTTGGGCGTTCTTTTCACGTACGATCATGGTTCAAAGACATTTAATCATAGAAGGAAATTAAGTAGAACTTATTTATACATTTTATTATGAAAGTAACTTTTTATTATTCAGAAGTGGTTACAATACTTGACCCATTTTGGTCGTTACAAAGAG